TTATTTGAGCCAAACTGATGACATATGTGAGGGAGCAAAATCTCACACGCTCCTCCTGCGTTTTTCTGCTTGGCCATGAACCTCGCAACTTCTGTGCTCATCCCGCATCTGCGCAGTAAACCTCTACCTCCCACTGGCCCTGTTTCTCTGGTGGGACCCCAACACGCCCTCTAACCTGGACAGCAGCAGGAGCAGCTAGAATGGTCTCACAATCCCCCAGTGAGCCAACTACAGTTCCGCCTCCGTGTTTTAACTTGTTCCTTAGCCCCTGCTGGAATGTCCTCCTTCAGAGGCCACTTTTCAAATCGGACACCATGCCTCCAAGGTCCGGCTTGAAGAGCTGCCTCTGGGAAGCCTTCCTGGCTGCCTGGGGTCTGTGGGTGCCCCCTTTTCCGAACTCACACAGCATTGTGGGTGACCACTTGTCCGTCCTGCAGACCAACTGCATCTTGTTGTGACCCTGTCAGGCTCAGAGGCGTGACCTCTGCATCTTCATTTCCCTAACCCTAAGAAAACTGCTGCTCTATCTAAACAGATGCTACTCAAGCTCTCCCAGCATAAGCAAAGTGCCACCTTCGGCTTTCTGATGCATGCCACCATTCTGTCCCTCAAGTGCCACCACTGTGGGTGGAGCACCCTGCCCCCCTTCTGTGGCTAGAATGACAGAAGAGGGCCTTTTGAAACATGACCCGAAATAGGGTACAGAGCCAAAGACATGATTTTGACGTTAAAAAAAAAAAAAGTTATGTCAAGAGGCTGAGGAAAGGTCTAACTGCCCTTCCTCAGGCCACGCTTATACTTCCTCCACTTCCCTGACCTGCAGGGACTGGAAGTCCCCTGGCTCCAAGCAGGTGAAACCTGAAAGAACTGAATGTCCCACAGTGGCGGTGAGGAGGGGGAGTAACGGCTGAAAGCTGCAGCTTCCAGAGGCAGGAGTCACAGAAGGGACATACCCAGGTTCTCCAATGACAGTAAGCGGAGCCCCACCCAAAGTGGGGGTGCTCTGTCCGGGCAGGCATTTTGGGTTGAGTCCAATGCCAGGAGGTCGTCAGTGCAAATTCCGGACTCCAAGGGGCCACCCGACGAATTATCTGGCACCTTCTGCTCGCCCACGGCTTCAGGCGAGATTATGTAACCCGTCGGAGAAGAGACTGCATTCCTATCTAGTTCAAAGGCTTGTGGGGCTCTTCAAAGACAAAGGTCCCTGTCAGAAAGCTCTGGGGGGGGGGGGCACACGTGCAGCCTCAGCCAGGGGGCTCATGAGAAAGGGGGCTTCTTCTTTTGGCTCCCACCCTTTCCTCACCTCCTGAGAACAAAAGGAATTAAAGTTTATTAGGGAGAGAAAGCAGAGTTCATGGGCCTTCTGGATATAGCCCAGTTACTTCCTGAATAAAACTATATTGTCCTCAGAAGGATCTGAGATTGCAGGTTGAACTTCACGTTATCTGATGGAAAACCTTGACCTCCGAGGTGGGGCAAGGCTGAAGAAACTCCACAGCGCAGCTGGGGGTGGGGGGTGGGGGGTAATGGGGGATGTAAGTCCTCATTGAGACCGCAGTTCTACTGGATAAGTTACATGTAAAAAATCTTTCCCTCACTGATGCGCCCCTACATTACCTGGGTCCTGACTGAGACTCAGAATCGACAGAGAGAGTGAAAGGGAAGCAGCAGCCGGAAGGACAACTCACAACCTGTGATGAGTTTTCACGGATCAACCACTAATCAATGCGTGAAAGGAAAGTTCACCCTCGCTAGTAATCATGGAAATGTGAATCAGAGACAGAGTTTGCTGACTAGACTGGATTGTTCGGAAAGAACAGGCTGGTGGGAGTGCATGCAGGCTTTTGGAAAGTCTCTTGGTAATAAGCAGCAAGACTTAAAGTGATGACTCAGGAATTTCGCTTCTAGGAAATGATTCTGAAGGAATAATGAGATGTAAACACAGACAATTTTAGGTAAAAATGATCACGGCTTCATTATAATAGCAAAAGAAGGGGGTGAACGAGTTAAATGTTCAAGAGAATGGTTAACCACAACAAGTCAATAGTAGAGACTATTACACAGTCATTAAATACGGCCATTTGATTTCAAATGTGTGAAATCACGTGAGCACTTTAAGTCTGTATTTGCTGGGCCAAGTTCCTCCACCCCGTCAGGTCTCATTCTCCTGATCTGTAGAATGAGTTTATCAGTATCTACCTGGCATAATTAAGCATGATAATTTAACCCTAAGCGGGGTTCCTGGATTATTTTAACATGCAAAATGGGAGCAATGATTTTCAGAATGATTATGTATAATTTTTTAATAGGGGACAGAATGTTAGCTCATGTTATATAAAATAATATTTCATAAGAATTTTTGATGAAATGGAACGCAAAAATAACCCATTCAATGTAAAAGCAGAATACAAAGCTATAAACCCACTTTTGCGTGTGTGCGCGCACACACACACACACACACACACACACCTCAATACATGCATCTATTTAAAAAATGCTTAAGTGGCTGGTGTAGATCAGTGGATTGAGCGCAGGCCTGTGAACCAAGGGATCACAGTTCAATTCCCAGTCAGGGCACAGGCCTGGCTGGGTTGCAGGCCAGTTCCCAGCAGGGGATGCACGAGAGGCAACCATACATTGATATTTCTCTCCCTCTCTCCTTCCCTTCCCCTCTAAAGATAAATGAATAAAATCTTAAAAGAAAAAAATCCTTAAAGGAGCGGCCTCAAAATACTACCTCAGTAGGTAAAGTGCGAATTACGGGTGACTTCTGTCTTCTCCTTTACACACTAGTGTGTAAAGGTTTCTACCAAGGTTTCTACCATGAGCACTTTACAGTTTTTAAAAAAAGAATGATTTTCAGAAGATTCCGAATCTGCCGTGGGAAGAGCACCGAAGGGAAAACTGTGACCTCCAGCTGTGAGGGCCCCTGGGTCGCTGTCATGCTCCACAGAAAGCTGAGAGTCACCCCTGTGGGGCCAGGGTGTCCTGCGAAATATATAGACCAGGGTCAGCCCAGCTCACGAGGCGCGGTGGCCTCGGCAGACCTTTCCAGGGAGTGGGCACTCTGCCACCCCGGCCTGTATCGTAGGGAGATAATGTCTGTGAAAGCACTTTGCCAGAGAGAAAACTCTGTCCAGATAGGCGATTCTGGGGCTTATTCTAGAGAAAGGAGGCTCTCGGAGCACATTCCATTAAGGAATTTCACACTCTGCCTCCTCCTCCAAACGCTTCTCTTTGTCTCCCTCCCCTGAACAGAAGTATATTTAGTAACCCTATCTAAATCCTCTTCTTTCCCTTAATTTGATTAAGGAGCAGGGGGAACGAGGGATGGAGTGGGGGGTGCAGCGAGGCGGGGAGGCTGAGCCACGGGGCAAGATTAGAGGAGCTGCGTGGCTATCTCGGCCGCGTGAGGCCTGAGTGAGGACAGGACAAGGGCCCCCAGGTACTTAGTACAGAAGCTCAGAGGACAGAGGGAGGGCGTGCAGTTGATCTCGAGGCACGCCTCGCGGAGAGAATGAGGGCCGAATCAGGGAGGGCAGGCTTGGAGGATTAACCAGGAGGACGGGGACATTTCCTACAGGAGGCACAGGCATCTCTGAGTCTCCTCCGGCTTCCTGGAGCTTAGGGTCTTCAGACACTTAAGAAGTTCCAAGAGACTAACGTGTTGACCCTCCTGCTATGTTTTAGGGACTTGCACACATATCGACTAGTTCCTTTTGATTAAGGAAATTACTATCACCCATGAAGCTGATGCTCAGAGAGAATCCTTTGCCTGTAAGGAAGTTGACTTAGTAGGTGGGGAAACTGAGGTTCGGATCCAGCTGTGCCCACTCCTGCCGGTATCCCTGGCAAACGTTACCCTTGGGGGAAAGAGCAGCCAGAGTTCCTTTAGCCCTGTGTGCCTTGTTTCATCCTCACCAATGTCTTCACCAGGGTGAAAACGATTAATAGCCCCATCTTACAAACGAGCGGACTGAGGCTTAGAATAAGCAATGAAGCTGAAGTTAGAGAGCCTGCGGTGGAGAGCCTGGGGAAGGACAGGGACAGCGGGTTTGAGGCACTCCGAGTGAGAAGCGTCTCTTATGTGCCTGGTTGCCCGCAAGGACAGACAGGGACCTTGCTTTGTGGATCCTGTGTGCCCGGCCCGAACACAATGCCCAGCGTGAAGGGAACGTTTGCTGGAAGAACTGGCGGTACTTGATAAGTCTGGCCCAGAGGGAGCATCTGCTGGGGGCCAGCGAGGTGAGGATTAAGTGAGACATACTTGTCTAGGGATTTCCAAGTCTAAAATGTCACGGTGCAGAGCTTCAGAAAAGGCTCTGCTGGCAACAGGGACCCCTGCAGGAGGCATTAAAGGTGACCAGGACCTTGACAATGGGCAGGCCCAGGGACAGGGTTCCAGCTCCCTCAGACCAAAGTGTGGAGGGAAGGTGGGTGAAGTAGGGGGGTCAGGCGCATACTCCCCACTGGTTCCTTCCACAGGGACGCCTCAAGGCCATCTCCAGACCCCGGGGGATGAAGCAGTATGGGAGGTGGGGGTTCTGGTGGGGTGGTGGGAGAAGGGCCCACTGGGCAGCTCGAGAAGGGAGGAGAAGTGGGAGATGAGTGGGTAACTAAAAAGGGCCTCAGGCTCTTCCTAACCCAGGTTTGGAAGTGCAAAGGGCAGGAATTTGGTCTCTTCTAGAATGAACTAACATCCTCCGGGCAGGGAAGTCAGGCTTTAGCAGGGTCTCTCACTGATTAATAAATATTAAAACCTCATCGCCTCAGGGTCCGCCGCAGCTTTACACAGAGCACCCTAGCTTCGCCTCCGTCTGGGACTGGAGGGGGGAGGCTACCAAAGGGCAGAGAACAGAACAGCCACCGAGATCCTGGGCCAAGTCCAGGCTTCCTGGCCTGGACTCGAGACAGCCTCGGCCCCTCATGCAATAGCTCTTGGTGTCTTTTGTGAGCTGCTTATTAACCAGGGGCTGGCAGGGCCCTGGGAGGGAGCGCGGGTGAGTGTAATTCGGAAACGGAGAGCGAGACTAAGCCGATGTGTGGCTGCCTGTGTGCAGCCAGCCTGGCAGGCTGGAGCTGGCCTCTGGTCACCACGCTGGAGCATCACATCAGAGGGTCCTGTGACCTTCGTGGGTGGCCAGGAGAGCCAGGGGTTCATGACCAACAGTGAACGACCACAGAAGTATTCCATCAGCCAGGACGAGGGACATGAATAGCTCTGAAAGCGGCTAAAGGAATCCTAGTTGGGGTGGGACAGGGGCTGGCATTGACATCCCCCTCTCGAAGCAACACGGGGGGTTCTTCCAATGCTGGAGGAACTCCTGGACCAGCCTCCTTTCCCAGGGACTATTTTTCTGGGAGAGGCCCCAGACTGAACACACAAAGCCTGGGCATCCTCTTCCCTCCCTTCCGTAAGCCGCTGCTGACAGCCCCAGTCTGCAGGTTTACTGCTGACGGCGTCGTGGGCCAACGACCCCTTGGGGTCAAACCGAGGACACAGAGCCCGCCCTGGACCCGGAACCACCAGAATGGCTTCTGCTGCGTCTATGAAGGAACACGCCTGGCCAGGCTTCAGTGGGGCTGCAGTGTTCTGAGTCTTCGGTTTCAATTGGTACCAGCTGCACGCAGGGGAACCGTTGGGGGAAGTTCTCCCACTTGGCTTCCTTCCACGTGGAGGCTCACTAAAGGAAGAGAGAGCTTAGGGCTGCTGAGCTGGGGCTGGTGCCTTAGAAATGATGACATAAACACAGCGGCGGGAGTCGGCCTGCGGAGTCCCTGATGCGGCCCAGAGAAGCAGCGGTGTCCCGACTTCCCCTTCAACGCCGCGCTCTGCAAACAGAAGTGACCCGGCCCTCATCTATCACCTCAGAAGCTAAACAACCTCCTCAGATGGCCCCATGGAATATAAACCAGGAGGGCCCAGCTTCTAAGGGACCTGCACCAACTGCAGCCCAGGGCAGTGCTTGTCCTCCTATTCTTCTTCCTTCATCCGTGTTCAGGATAGGGTGCTGGCCAGTCATAATCGCAGATGAATATGCAGGTCCCCTTAAGTAGGTTACTCAACTGCTCTGGGCCTGTAAGTGGGGATCCCGTCATGTCTACCTCACACGTTCCAGGTGGAAGGTAAAGGTGGTAGGTAATTCAGGGAGAGTGCTTAGCACGATACCTTGATGAATGCCAGCCGCTACTTCATTGGCTGGAGGCTATTCCTGGGTACAGAGAAGGAAAACAAACAAAACCCCAAACTACCGAGTCTAATTCTAACCCCAGACAAGGACGGCCCTGGGCCAGAGCCTCGGTGACTTCATCATGCTCTGAGCTTCTTCCTCCTGCTGCTCTCATGCCAGACTGTGCCAGACCTGGGTACACTTGGCAACCTCAGTGGCCTCCGACTTGTTTAAATCCTCACGGCGAATCCCAGCGGCCACAAAGACCTGCTGGAGCAGAGACCAACTCAGACACGCTGGGGCAGCAGTGCAATGTAGGGTAAGGAGCGGTCGCAAAGAACACGCGCTCACATTCTGAGTGCCTGGAGAGCTGTGGTTTAGACAGGGTGCCCTCCCCACCCCCACCTTTTTCAGACAGGCAGGGGAGCTGGCTTAGAAATTCTTTCCTCTCACATACTTCCTCAATGGCATCATAACATGCGTCACAAACAGGTAAAGACCCGTCAGCCCTGTGACTTTGAAGCTGTTGAATGTTAATGCCTTTGCTTCTTCCCAACCAGGGAACTGGATCCGGGGTGATGGGTGACCCAGCAGGCACAGAGGTGATAGATTCGCACATTGTGTAGCAACGCTGGGACAACCTGGGGCATGTAGCCTGGCAGGCAGGCAGGCTGGGAGAGGCAGCCTTGAGCACAGCGACCTTTGTCCCTGTTTGCTCTTGGTGAGGACAGGCGCTGCCAACACGGCTCTCCTCTCTCGGTGTCTACCGGGGACGCCTGGCTGATCCAAGTGTTCTTGGGGGGCCTGAGCAGGCCTGACCCCAATGGGTGGCAAGCAGAGACCTCTTAAGGCAGCCCAGGGTGCTCAGAACTTCCTCTGAGACAAGCAGGTGCAGGGATCCTAGGCAGGTGTGCACTTCCACCCTCCCACCCAAAGAAATCTTTTCCCTTCTGGCTTTGTCCCAGCAAGAAGGCTTCTCATTAACTAGCCACCTGTCCCTCTAGAAAACTCCACCTACTTAGGGGCACTGCATTCAAACCACGACGGGTCCAAGGAAATGAACTGAAGGACAGCAGCCCTGCACGTGAGCTGATTTCCTCTTCACGGCTGGTCCCCTGGGGAGGCAAAGGCTCCCAGTTCCACCTTGCTCCCTGCCAGTGAAGGTGTCCTCCTGAAGAACCTGTGCGCGGGCTGCCCAGGTGGGGCACGGGGGTGATGGGCACTCTCTGGCTCTTTCATGGTAAATCCCTCCTTCTTTCCCTCCCTTCCCTTTTTTCTTAATTTCACTGAATGATGATGCTTGAGGCAGGCTGAGCCAGAAAAGCAACTTTTCTGGAGAAAAGTCTGAGGGTTTCTCTTGTAGGGAGGCAGTCAGGCACGGGTTCCCCATCCCCTTCACCTAACAGAGGGCACCGCGCCTGCCAGGTCCCTTCCAGCTGGCAGTGGGGCCTGCGCCGCGGAGAAGCATCCTTGTCGTCCACAAATAAACAAACCCAATCCATGTGTTGGAGGACTTAGGGTATATTAATAGCCAGATATTTTGTTTTCCTACTCTGGTGCTTATCCCCCTTCCACAGTAAGAAAGATAAGCGAACACAAAATGTTCTCCAGCCCCCCTCCCCCAGGGAGAGGCAGCCAGGGGGCGTGAGCTGTCTGTTTAAAGCCATTGCTGATCCAGACTCTGGGAAAATAGACTTAAAAGTTTATGTTCGGTCTCTCTTGGCTACTGTTGCCGCTCAGCAGAGAAACTCTATATTGTTTAAACGCTCCAGGCAAATGGGTTGCAAGGCAACCTTCAAACAATATAAAATGCCCTAAACTAAAAATAAAGGCAGATGGAAAGTGGGGTGGTGCTTTGGTGAAGTGATTCCAAAGTCGGGGTGAAGGAGGATGCTGTCAGCTAGGCTGCTTTTACCTTTGCTGATCGAGTCTCTTATACTCCAGTCCCGTTGGGTGCCTCTTCGGTTTATTCCTGGACTCTCAGTTCTTTCCTCTGTCTCCCAACACATTTGGGGCAGGGGTGGGTGCTCAAACAGCCTGTTATGCGGGGCTGCCTCCTGCCCTAAGGAGAGTCCCTGAGACTCCAATCCACCTATTTCCCACGGGCTCCCAGCCCTGACAGCACCTGCAAACCCTGTTCCTGGGGAGTCCTCAGAAACCCTAGAAAGGAGAGGGCTGGGGCCCAACTTAACCACAAGGGTCCTTGTGCCACCAGGAGGGTCAGCGTCAGAAACGTGATGATGACAGTGAAGCTGAAGTGATGTGGCTGGAAGATGGATGAAGGGACCACAAGCCAAGGAATGCAGGCAGCCTCCAGAAGCTGGAAAGGCAGGAGGTTGGCTTCTACTCTAGAGCACCCAGCAGGACCCGGCCCTGTTCACACCTTGATTTTGGTCTCATAGACTCTGACCTCCAGGAATGTAAGAAAATACCTTTGTGGTGTTTTAAGTTTGTGGTAATTTGTTACAGCAACAATAGGAGACTAATACAGCAACGGAAAACACGAGGATCCTTTATAAGGACAAGAAGCCTATGATTAGTTCGAGGGTACTCGGTACTCGAGCGTTGCCAGCAGATGGCCTGGGAAACAGGTGTTTACTTCCTGGTGCACTTGACCACAGATGACCAGACCATCAGAAGGCACTGAATCAGCTGGGTTATCAGAAATGATGGCTTCCTTTAAACACACAATCAAATAAACACAAATCAATAAAAAAAAGCTGTCCCTTTTCTTCCCCACCAACTAGGCAGGTGGACCAGTGTATTAAACAACAGGCAGACTTGAGCAGCGGGGACACTGTTTGCTCCCCTAACCTGTGGCTCCACCCCAGCTGGTGCCACTCCAAGGGAGATCAGACCAGAAAGGGAAACTGGAAGAAAGAAAAATAAATCACCTCCAGCCTCCTCCTCCAGGTTGCCGGCCAGAAACCACTGAAGAATCTCTTGGAAACACTTGAGACTTAAGGCCTTTTTTTTTTTTTAGCAGGTTTGCTCCCCCCGCCCCCCAGACTATTTTCTGATTAAATGTCTCCTAAGGGCTTGCATTAGAGAGCCCAGGAAACCCTGTCTCAACAAAAAAGGAGAAACACGCAGGATTCTCAGGCTTTCCCTAGTTCCTTGCCTCAGGGACGTGTAAGCACTTGAACAGTACAATTTACTCTGTTCTCATGACATTTCCAGGAGACAAAAACCATCAGCCCCATTTTATAACTTGTGACCTTGAATTAGAGAGAGGGCAAGCAACACGGACGCAGTCGAACAGCGAGCCAGAGTGGTTTGCCCAAACCGGAACACAGCTCCCCCACTCCCACACTGGCTGCTGCTAAGACCGAACAGGGGAGGAGTGTTATTTGTGAACAGGAGTACACCTCACTGGGTCTCAAGAAGTTAGAAAGATGGCCTGCAGGCTTCAAGGGAAAAAAAAAAAACCGCCAGCAGCAGAGATAGATTAGAAGGTACTTCAAACAAAGTTGTTGTAATGGGTCAAATACATTTCTAGACAAACAAGACGACTCAAAACCTTCAATACAGCAGTTTGCAAAAGGTCTTTTCAGGCCTGACTGCTAACTTAGCATCAAATAGTTTTTCTCACACTGTGGAAGTCCTACATGTTGAATTACTTTATAACCTCTTTCAACTTCCTGAAAAAAGACTTTGGAAGGTCAAACATGCATTTCACCTTGCTACTCATCATTCTGCATTTAAATGTGCTCCTGGGACATTAAAACAGACAACACCAGTAAAGATGCTCAAGATTAAAATAGACTGTATTATAAAAATGGTATTAAACAGGATCGTTCAGCCTTAAAAAGGAAGGAAATACTGCCATGTTATAGTGAAGATGAAACTTGAGGACATTATGCTAGGTGAAATAAACCAATCATAAAAAAATAAATATTGTATGATTTCACTTAGAGGAGGGACCTACAGTAGTCAAATGCACAGAGATGGAAAGCAGAATGGTGGTTGCCAGGGGCTGGGGGAGGGGGAACGGAAAGTTGTTTAATGGGTAGGGAGTTTCAGTTTTGCAAGATGCAAACGTTCTGGAGATGGATTGCACAATACTGTGAATATATTAACACTGCTGAACTGTACACTTAAAGGTGATTGAGATAGTAAATTTTAGACTATGTGTTTTCCACCGCAATTAAAAAAATTTAAAGGGCAGTGCTGAATTAAAAGCCTTAATAAAAATTTCATTTTTATTCCATTAAGGTATGACTGACATGGAAAGAATTTTCAAATTCGACAAAGAAACTTGCTGGCTGTGTTTATCTCTACTTTTTATTCCTGCTGGAGTAATGAAAACAGATCACTTGGTTTAATTTTGTGATTATCTTTACTTCCTGGTTCCTGCCTGATTATGCAATGCTTTTGGTTAGAAATAGAAAAAAGGAAAGTTTATGTGCTAGTCTATTATTTTTATAGCATTACATGCAAAGCACTACAGTGAGAAATATTTCCGCTTACGTCAAGTTTTTATAAAAACTTATTTCTAAATAAAGTGGAATTTGGGGACCTGGGCCACAGGTAAGGCATCTTCCCTAAGGTTTATGAGCGAATGCTATTTTATATTTCCAAGTGTATTCTTATTTTAACTGCTTTTACAATAAACACTTGCTTCCTCTTTCAACAAACTTAAAAGGTCATAGAAACTATCTTTAGTAATACATAAAATCTTTCATAAATTTTGATTTTATCACATTAACTCCAAAATGTAACCACTGCTTAAAATTGTCTCTGAAGCAATTTGACACAAACTAAGCCAAAAAGGACAGATGTTCATTATAATCATGTAACTCAGAGAATAGCTACTATTCCATACATATACCTGTGCTTTCCTGTTACCTTCTCTATTTTTAAGCAATAATCATACAGATGCATTTGCATGTTAAAGGCATAACAACCATTTTCTACAAACTTTGTCCTGGGCCTGATGGCTGTTCCAGTATTAGATTTATAGAAGATATTCTTGAACACTGAGAATGAGGCTGTGGTTAGGAAGTCAGAGTCTTCAGACTATACTGGTGACTATTAGTAATTATAAAGCTACATCACATTTACTTTATTCTGTATTTGGTTAACCAAGCAGATGGTACTTGGGCAGTTGCTGCAGGAGGGCCTCCTTGAATGGAGCTGAATGGCAACTGGGTCTAGCTCTGTAAAAATCATCAGACGATCAGCGTGCAGACAGCTCCCAGGCCCACCCACCACCTTCACCCGGTACTGCTGTCCCTTGCTCTCTGCGGGGTATTGGCTCCTGGGGCCCCTCAGATACCGAAATCCATGGGTGCTCGAGTCCTTTACATAAAAGTGGCATAGTATTTGCGTATGACCTATCCCATCTTCCTGTATACTCTGAATTATCTCTATTACTAATAATACCAAACAACATATAAATGCTATGTAAATGGTTGTTGGACCGTGTTTTTGAGGGAATAATGACAGGACATCAAAGTCTGTACGTGTTCGGTACAGATGCAGCGTCATAGGCCTAACCACACAGTACCCATCAGCAACAACATAACTGTTTTTGCTGAATGTTTTTCCAAAAACATTTAGGTTGAATCTGGGGATGCAGGATCCGTGGATTCAGAGGGCTGACCATACCTTGAAGTAGTCAGGGAAAGAAACTGAGGCTCAAAACAATTAAGTAATTTTCTCAAGGTCACATTCTTTTGCTTTCATTCATTATTATAGCATTTACTGATCGAGTTGCCTGGGTGCCTAAGCATTTGACAGAAACCAGTGCTGTATTCTGTATGTTTATAGTCCAAGATGAGAACCAGAGGAGAAAACCTGAGTACTGTGCAGGCCTTGTGTCTTCGAGTGGCTGGCCTTCCAGGAGGACCTTTTTATTGGGGGATCCCTAGCTGTCCACCACACCTTCTGCACGTTCCTATCTTGACTTGCTAAACTCATCTGTTGTGTGTGTGTGTGAGACAGAGAATAATGATTATGTACAGACACACCTATCTAAACATATATAAGTGCATACGTATATTTAAAGGAAGTGTGGATCCATGTTTTCAGGACTCTTGTTTCCCAGGTCACTATGGGATCAGAGACCCCATCCCCTCCACTGAAAGACCAGCTGGCTCCTGGGGAATCCAACCCAGACTGAGCTCTGGCAGTGACGGGACAATGTTAAGGAAAAATGCTAATGATTTTTCCATTAGCTGGTCCCATTGAATGTTTATTTAACACCTTGATTAAAACAGCTCAAAGCAATACTCTAAGTAGCTGAATTATAACCTCATTTTGTAAACAGTGTATTTTTAAGTACAAAAATACACTCCTTTTCCAATCCTCATAATGTCTTAAAAATAGTCCCCGGATATATTTCATAGAAAGACTAGAAGTGAAACTGTGAATGTTGGTAAACTCTGGGTGCAAGGATTATAGGTGCCTTAAATTATTTCCTGTATTATTTAAAATTTCTACAATTAAACCCTGGCTGGGGACTGAGCACTGGCCTGTGAACCAAAGGGTCACTGGTTGGATTCCCAGTCAGGGCACAGGCCTGGGGTCTGGGGCTGGGTCCCCAGTGGGGGGAGTGTGAGAGGCAACCGCACATTGATGTTTCTCTCCCTCTCTTTCTCCCTTCTCCTTTAAAATAAATAAATAAAATCTTTAATAGGCCATAAAAACTCAACCTCAATCACAATTTTAAAAATAGCAATGCAAATAATTTTTTAAACATGTCACATTGACAAAGATGTTATAAAGCCAGTGTGCCTGGTTCAGGCAGGAGACAGCAAACCAGGCCCTCACACACGACGGCTGGGGTCAAAAACTGTCACCAGCTCTTTGGAGGGCAACTTGGCAATACTTGTCACAATTGTATTTTATGTTTTACAAGATTTTTTATTGTTGTTCAAGTACAGGGGTCTCCATCCCCCCCACCCATCAAAAATTTAAATGTACATACTTCTGAATCCAGCAATTCTACTTCTGAGATATTGTCTTATAGATATACTTGTATAAAGGTGCAAAGATACATGTTGAAGGATGTTCAACAAGGAACTTGTTAACTGTGCTAGATCCATACACTGGGACTTTCTGCAACTGTTAAGAATTAGATCATTCTATGTACACATGACCATAACTTACTGTTCAGTGCAAAAAGCAAGTCGTGTCTCAGTGAATATAACCACTGTTGTATATACTTTTTTAAAATATATTTTTAGAGATTTTATTTATTTATCTTTAGAAGGGAAGGGAAGAAGAGAGGGAGAGAAATATCAATGTATGGTCGCCTCTCATGCGTCCCCCACTGGGAACTGGCCTGCAACCCAGGCATGTGCCCGGACTGGGAATCAAACCAGGATCTTTTGGTTCACAGGCCTGTGCTCAATCCACTGAGCTATACCAGCCAGGGCTGTTGTATATAATTTTAAAAGACTGTAAATACATACATATGCTTGTACATACAATTAAGATATCTGGACTATTCTGACTGTGAATTAAGATGTTCCTGAATTAAGATATTCTGGAACATCTGACTGTGAAAACACTTCTGAGAGACAAGAAGACTGAGGTAGGAAAGGGTTTTTTATTTCTTTGAACTAATATTCCTTGATATTATTTGAATTTTGTTACACTGAGCATGTGTTTTTAGTCTTAACAGCATTATTGGGACATAATTCTCATACCATATAGTTCACACGTTCAGTGTTTTTCAGTGTGTTCACGGACTTCTACAATCCTCACCACAGCATGCATTTTCAAAGTGATACAATTTTTAAGAGATACTCCATTAGTGGCAAGAGAATGTGTGTATGAGATATGATCAGAAAAAATTTGAACAGTAAGAGAATGATACACATAAATGTGGGGGGAGGGGTGATAAGAACAAAAAATGGAGAGGGTCAGAGCAAAAAAAAAAGAAAGATGTTAAAGTGAATTTTAACTAGGAACATGTTAGATCTGCCCTTGCTAAAAAAAAAAACCACACATCTGAATTTTGTAACAGATAAATCAAGGTAAGATATTCAGGTATAATAAGAAAAATAAAAGGAGCCCTGGCCGGTAGCACAGTTGGTAAGAGAACTGTCCCAATATGCCCAGGTTGTAGGTCTGATCCCCAGTAGGGCACATCCAAGAACCAGCCCATGAACGCATAAGTGGGTGGAACAACAAACGGATGATTCTCTTTTCTCTCTCCCTCGCCCTTCTTCTCTCTCTCTAAAAGTAAAAGGAAAATAAACTCTTGGTTTGATGGTACTGCGTATATTTGGATAAACCAGATTCTACATAAGTCTGCAGACAGCTGGATACAGTCTATCTATAGAAGACACAGAAAAAAAGTTTAGAGAAATCTATTTATCTTGTTGCTAGAAATCTCTCCTCTCTTAGGAAGGCTGACAGAAAGATACTAATTCTCAAGCAAAGAATACTTTCTGGATACCGGTAATGCTCCGATCCAGTTGAGATGACAGAAAAGAGGTTGGAGAGAATGCAAAGGGCTCCTGAAACATACTGACAAACTGAAGCAAAAGCCATGCAGAAATATTCTGACTCTGGCTCAAAGTTTTCTGTATGTTTGTAGAAGAAGGGTGAGAACACACATTTGAAAAATAATGTTTTATGAAAACATTTAGCAAAACTTACATGTAATCTTTGTTACTTAAAATGAAAGTACATTTTCTCTGAGAGTTTCCATTAAAACCTTCTTTGATACTTCCGGACAAGATGGAGGTACAGGTAGACACACTGTGCCTCCTCAAACAACCAAAAGAAGGACAACAACAATTTAAAAACAAAAAAGAACCAGAACTGACAGAAAATCGAACTGTATGGAAGTCCAACAACCAAGGAGTGAAAGAAGACACATCCATCCGGACGGGTAGGAGGGGTGGAGTCAAGCAGCCGGGCAGAGAGGACTCGCAAGGCGGTGGCTGGAGGACCAGGGCGGGCAAGGCTACAGCTGGCAGACCCAGCAGGCTGGTGGAGTGGGCGATCCCATGTTCACATGCATATAAACTGGGAGAAACGACAGGGGAGAAGGACGGATCACACACCCCAGGCCCCAGCGCAGGGAAATAAAGCCTCAAAACACCAATCGAAAACACTTGTGGGGGTGGAGGCAGCAGCAGGAGAAACTCCCAGCCTCACAGGAGAGTTCACTGGAGAGACCCACAGGGTCTCTAGAACATACACAAGCCTACATGCGAA